CTACAGACGTTGTGAATACTATGTTAGTCGTTTCCAGTTTTGATTTTTTATTATTGCTGTTATGCCAACTCTGGAACAGAAGGACTCTGAGGCCCAATCAAAAATACTACTAGGCAAGATTCTTTATTCACGCTTAGAAGAAATGGACACTATTTTATAGAGCCAGTAAACAATTATTCACAATAAAAGTTTGATCTGGGCTGGGCGCAGTGGTTCACGTCTGTAATCCTGGCACTTAGGGAGGCCAAGGATGGCGGACTGCCTGAGCTCAAGAGTTCAAGACTAGCCTGGGCAACACAGTGAAACCCTGTCTCTACTAAACTATGAAAAATTAGCCAGGCATGGCAGCGTGCACCTATAGTCCCAGCTACTCGGGAGGCTGAGGCAGGAGGCTCGCTTGAACCTGGGAGGTGGAAGTTGCAGTGAGCCGAGAGCGCGCCACTGCACTCCGGTCTGGGCAACAGAGTGAGACTCCGTCTCCAAAAAAAAAAAAAAAAAAAAAAACCTCAACTCAAAAAAAAAAAAAAAAAAAAGTTTGGTCTGATACAATATGTGAGAGACTACAATACAAAACAGATGAAAAATCTGTGCACTTCAAGTATATAACAGTTATTTTCTAAAAGTAGGAGGTGTTCTTCATTTTTTTTTTCCCTGAGACAGGGTCTCAAGTCTGTCGCATAGGCTGGAGTACAGCAGCCTGATCACAGCTCACTGCAGCCTTGTCCTCCAAGGCTCACGGGATCCTTCCACCTCAGCCTCCCAAGTAGCTGGGAGAGAAGGCACATGCCACTATGACCAACCAATTGTTTTCGTTTTTTGTAGAGATGGACTCTTGTTATGTTGCCAGGCTTGTCTTGAACTCCTGGTCTCAAGTGATCCTCCCACCTCAGCCTCCCAAAGTGCTGGATTACAGGCGTAAGCCACCATGGCTGGCAAGTTGTCCCCTTTTTCTTTTAACTACTCATAAGAAGAAAACAGTACATATTACCAGAACATTTAAAGGTGGTTATTACCTATAAATACACAACTGATATTTTCAATGAGATGACATCCACAAAAAATTAAGTTAGAAATATTCTTACCATTATCTTCAGTAAAAATGACACTATTTCAGTAAGGCATGACAGACACTGGAATCCCTATGCTATATATAGCAACCTAAATTGTTTGTTTAGTTTAATACTACTTAACAGATTTAAGGTACATAAAAAATATCTTCTATAGGTTAACAAGGATATCCAGGACTTGAACTCATCTCTGTACCAAGCAGACCTAATAGACATCTACAGAGCTCTCCACCCCAAATCAACTGAAGATACACCCTTCTCAGCACCACATTGCACTTATTCTAAAACTGACCACATAATTGGAAGTAAAGCACTCTTCAGCAAATGTAAAAGAACACGAATCACAACAAACTTGTCTCTCAGACCACAGTGCAATCAAATTAGAACTCAGGATTAAGAAACTCACTCAAAACCGCACAACTACATGGAAACTGAACAACCTGCTCCTGAATGACTACTGGGTAAATAACAAAATGAAGGCAGAAATAAAGATGTTCTTTGAAATCAATGAGAACAAAGACAAAATGTACCAGAATCTCTGGGACACATTTAAAGCAGTGTGTAGACGGAAATTTATAGCACTAAATGCCTACAAGAGAAAGCAGGAAAGATCTAAAACTGACACCCTAACATCGCAATTAAAAGGATTAGAGAAGTGAGGGCAAACAAATTCAAAAGCTAGCAGAAGGCAAGAAATAACTAAGATCAGAGCAGAACTCAAGGAGATACAGACACAAAAAACCCTTCAAAAAAAATCAACGAATCCAGGAGTTGGTTTTTTTTGAAAAGATCAACAAAATTGATAGACCCCCAAAGCCTCACTCAAAGACTGGCAATTTTTTTTAAGTACTTTTCAAAACAAGTAAGCAAATGTATATCATCTCAGCAAGTTATCTGTTAAGGACAGGACATCTATATTCGAACGAATAAGAAAACAATATTAACTTTAACAAAATCTAACTTAAAAGGGGTATAAATATATTTTTAGTAACATTTTATTCTTATTTACAAAAGAAAAGAACATCTTGATATCAAAATTTATAGATTCTATTTCAACATTAAAGAAAGCTGGGAAAATGAAAATTTCTCCTTTTCTTCACCAAAGATTCCTTCCAAAACCTCATTGACAAAAGTAAAATGAGGGCCATTTCAAATACCTACCTATGTTTTAAAAAACCTTATGGAACTTGGCCGGGCGCAGTGGCTCATGCCTGTAATCCCACACTTTGGGAGGCCAAAGTAGGCGAATCGCTTAAGGACAGAGTTCAAGACCAGCCTGGTCAACATCATGAAACCCTGTCTCTACTAAAAATACAAAAAATTAGCTGGGCATGGTGGCAGGCACCTGTATTCCCAGCTACTTGGGAGACTGAAGCAGGAGAATCGTTTGAACCCGGGAGGCAGAGGTTGCAGTGAGCCAAGATAGCGCTACTACACGCCAGCCTGGGTGACAGAGCAGGACTCCATCTCAAAAAAACAAAAACAACAACAAAAAAAAAGTTATGGAATTTGTCTGACAATCACTCATTGCCTTCCACTCTACCCAAACTCTAGTTTGTCAAAAAAAATTAAAATGCTGGAGACATTTAAGAAATACATTTCTTGCAAATGTACTACATTTTAAACTAACTTCAAAAGACAATTTCATTTTCATGCTACCAACATGAATTACTCTATAATATTTGGAAACTTACAAACAATAAATGTTTATCAGACTTCACCTCCTTGAAATCCTTCCTTGAAAGTTAAAAATCCACCTAACTGCCAAAAACAGGTTTCACTGCTGATTAGAAATGTGCAGTTTTTAAAATGGTTTCATGGGGTGCAGTGTACACTGCTCAGGTGATGGGTGTACCAAAATCTCAGAAATCACCAGTAAATAACTTATCTGTGTAATCACACACCATCTGTTCCCCAAAAACCACTGAAATAATTTCTTTGAAACTACAAAAAAAGTCAAACACAAAACTTACAAAATTTAACTAAAAAATAAATATTAAAAAATAAATAAATAAAAGGTTCTCATAAGTAATTACAGATACATGTGGCCAAAATTTTTTGAGAAACAGTTCTTAGACTTGCAAATTTTTTCTCACTATACTAAATTGAGATAACTTGAGCTCAATTTTCTGCAGTTTAATTCATTTTGCAAACACACTTGGTCTTCTGGCATTTCTAATAGCATTCCTGTTGCTTGCTTTAAAATTAAAGAGACGGTTCCTATATGAATTACTGTATTCTCAGTGCCTTATTCAAAAATATAATTTTCATGCTTTATATAAAATACCAAAAAAATGTTCAACATTTTTGTAATGGCAACTTTGGATCAATATTGGAAGAATTTTTAAAAAGTAAAAAGCCTATGCCTGCGAACAACACCCTGTTAAAGCCCTGTAATAGCTTAAGAGAAACAAATCCTTTAATGTCCACTGTAGTCAGCAGCTGCTGCAAGACCGTTATAAAAGAAGTACTCTAATTCACATACATAAGATTTCTTTTTATTTCTGACATTTTATCCAACCTTTCTTCTCTGTCACCCTCACCAAAAAGAACAAAAGAATTTTACCCAATGTTAAATAATCTAGAGAAATTATTGGCAGGCACTGGGTACACGTTTACATAGGAATCAATCACTATTTCTCAAAAAACTGAGAGCAGAAACACTGCAGTCAAATAGACCATACAACAGACATTAAAGAATCGTAAGAGTTTTGTTTTTGTTTTTGTTTTCACATAAATGATGTTTTATTCTAATTGGGTACTAGAGATCATCAGTTGTTTCTTTTGTTTATGAAACCTGCTGCCACTGGTAGGAAAATGCCAATCAGCTATATCTACAACTGATATTTCCAACATTGTATTATTCACAATCAGTGCAAATTTACAAATTATTATGAATCAAAGCTAAATAAATAAAAAATGAAAGAAGCTTAACTAAAAATTGTTTTGGCATTTCTAATAAAATCTTTTCCTTATCCACTAGTAACTTTAAAAAACTGACTACGGAAAAGACAACAAGATTTTAGACTTTAAAAAGTAAGAAGCAACACTTGGAAATAAAAGTATAACTTGCTTTCTATTAACTTTTAATTGTCTTTCTAATTTAAGACCAAGATTTAAGTGCCTATTTTCTAAAAAAATTTTTTTTTTGAGACGGAGCCTCACTCTGTCACCCAGCGCTGGAGTGCAGTGGTGCGATCTCAGCTCAAAGCAAGCTCCACCTCTCGGGTTCCCGGCATTCTCCTGCCTCAGCCTCCCAAGTAGGTGGGACTACAGACGCCCACCACCATGCCAGGCTAATTTTTTAAATTTTTATTAGAGATGGGGTTTCACCATAGATGGTCTCGATCTCCTGACCTCGTGATCTGCCCGCCTCGGCCTCCCAAAATGCTAGGATTACAGGCGTGAGCCACCGCGCCTGGCCTATTTTCTAATTTTAAAAAGCAGAAAGACAATTCTTTATTCAAGAACTAGCTAAATCTGTATTTATTAAAATGCAGCCTACTGATTAAAACTAGTAATTTACACCACTAATTCGACCAAACTGCATTTTACTGTTGCACTAACTCAATTACTCGAGCTCTAACTTTAAACGCATGCATAACTAATTTAAAAATCCATAATCGTACCATAAAATAATAATCATAGAATAAATATATACCTTTGGTAACAATGTCAAATTTAAAATGCTACTAAAAGAAGTATATCCATTAAAAATAAACAACCTTTATAATTTTAGTGCTTTCATAAACCCTCTTACTTTGATATCACTTATACTACAGGCATATAATTTCAGTACATTATTAGACTGAAAGTAAAGTAACATTACTAAAACAGAGAAAATGCTTAAGTAATAGCACATTATTTACATGGACATCTTTCTACAATTTAGTAAAAAGACTAAAGCAAATCTGAATAAATACCAAATTTTACCTTTTCTGTATTGTAATATAAAGATTTCAAAGTAGTAAACAAGGGTGGGCATCCTTTACTGAAGTTAACCCTCAGGAACTTATCCATTAGTTCTCTAAATCTTTCACCTAGAAACAAAAGCATACTTTGTTATTCTTTGTTTCATGCAAACAATTCTTAAAATGATTTTCTAAGTAAAAATAAAGCTCCCTCAGAAACAATTATGCTCCTATCCAATTTATAAACCCAAAAAGTCAAACAGTTTTAAGTAGAGTAAAAGTTATCAACTATCCATTCTGAATTTAGCACAATATCAAATATCTTTCCTAATCTCTCACTGACTAGCACACTCAGTCTACAGCTCAAAACCCTGCAGATATGTAAAAAGCACTCTGCAGCAGACTATTGTAACCAGCACTATATTCAAGTGATAGCCACAAGATCTTTTTAAACACTAAGTTGGTATTTGCAAATGTCTTCCCAAATCAATTTGTCATTTACTTCAACATTCATTCATTCATTCCACAATAATGTGTCAAGCACTTACTACATGCCAGACACTGTTCTAGGTATTGGGGATATAGCAGTGATTAAAATTTAAAAAAAAAAAAAATTAATTCTACCCTAGAGAACTTAACATCTCAGTGAGTGAGGCCAACAATAAAGTAAATTGATGTTAGACATTAGACTAAGCCCTGGGTATTCTAACATTAGAACTAAAATAAACAATCTGTTTGCAACATCAAGTACATAATTCTTTCATTGCTAAACCCCTACAAATGATTTTTGTCATCACCTTTTGAAAGCAGAGAGTATTCAAAGAATTTTAATTTTAAATACAGAGATATAAGAACTTTTTGATAGTATGGACTAATACATAAGGACATGGATTTACCTAATCATTTGAGGAAAAAAAAAACACACATATGTCATGAACGATTTAGCCTCAAGTAGGATGATTGAAATGACCTCCTAAGATTTCTTAATGAATCACAACACTGCACAACAAAATCTAACAACCCAAAATGGTTATTTTTATTTGTTGTGACTGACCATGTTGAACAAAACATGCATGCATACTCAATATAATTAAATGTCATACAAAAATTTAACTCCATTAACTATAAAGACTGTATTCAGATAATCTCTAATCTCTTAGATCATACACAAAATACTGGGGTGTTTTTGTTTTTGTTTTGAGACAGAGTCTCACACTGTCACCCAGGCTGGAGTGAAGTGGTGTGGTCTCAACTCACTGCAACCTCCACCTTCCAGGTTCAAGCAATTCTCCTGCCTCAGCCTCCCAAGTAGCTGAGACTACAGACGTGTGCCACAACGCCCAGCTAATTTTTGTATTTTTAGTAGAGACGGGATTTCACCATGTTGGCCAGGATAGTCTCAATCTCTTGATCTCATCATCCACCTGCCTTGGCCTCCCAAAGTGCTGGCATCACAAGTGTGAGTCACCACGCCTGGCCAATACTGGTCTTTTGAAAAATCACAGATTACGAAGACAACATAAAACTTCATCCTGGGTTAAATTACACACCATTGCTTCTTTAAAAGTCAAAAACAGTTTCAGAGACTGCATCTTTCCAGTAATTTCTCTGGTGTACGACAAAAGCTAACAATATTGTGGGAGACAATAAGAGACGCTGTTTCTTAGAGGAATGCAGACTTCTCCACTTAATTGTGTGCAACCTTGGGCAAATAACTTGTCCATTAAAAACCTCGGTTTTATCACTGTAAAATGAAGGCAATACCATCACTGGCCTCAAGAGTACACTTGTATGGCTCAAACGAGGTAAGACATAACAATAAACAATGTCTTCCATATAGTAATCACTCAATAAATGCCTCATCTTCTCTGATATCTGACAGTTTTTATATTTTAGAGTTAATATTTTGTTTTCTATACTTGCAATCAACCGCTGAGAAAACAAGCCTTTTATCTACACGGCAGAAGCTACTCTGAACTCCTCCTTTGTCAACTTTCTCAGTCTATTCAGATCACTTTGGCAAATCTATTTATTAGATTGTGCAGGTAAGAAAAAAATGACGAAGCTCTTTAAGTGCTGATCCAGGACTAATCTCCAAATACGGAGTTAGGTGAAAAGAAAACCCAGGTTCGCAGCAATCCATCAATCCATGCTACCGCATGTTTACAAAAAGCAGGGTGCGGGGTGTGACCTTAAACAAATCTCCTACACACATTTTTGCTCACACATGCACAACATATTTGTAGAAGAATACACCATCAGCTGATCACAATGGATGTCTGCAGGGGAAGTAAACTTAGTTGCCAAGGGACAGACAAGAAAAAGACTTCATGAACTTATAAACTTTTTACCTAATTGGCAACTGTGTGAATTTATCACCTAAACAAGAAGCCGACACAGCTACCCAACTGCTTAGTCACACACCATATCCCCAAATTACTTATGATTTATCCATCTCATTTTTTTCATCAATTATTATGTGCCTCTTTAGCATTACTGTTCACAAAACAGGTTACCTGAATAATTCTCAGATAGATACATAGCATGATGTTCCCAAAACATGATGTCCCTGTTTATACTAATTCCTAAAATAATTAGTGTAAACAGCAAGAATAGTCTGTTTCTGATTCACTGGAAATCCATTCTAAATAATGGAGCAAAATTTAATTAGTATATTATGTTTAATACTCTGGATTATTTCCTTCCCTCTCTCTACCCTTCAGCCAGTGCATAATAGAACATGATGAATTGAACTAACTATTTTGAAAAGTACCTTTATCCCTTCATTATTTTTAGAGCACTTAATATTTTCGGGTGTTAGAAAATTTCCTTATTGTTCTGTGGTATGAAGCCCTTTTATCTAAAAAATGGAAAGGCTTTATCAAAACTTTCACCTTGCATTCTCAAGATGCATCATTTTTCTTGAGGAAGATCTTACTGCTTTTGATAATGCCAAAATGGTTTTCTTATTGATCATGAAAGCATTTCTAGACAGGCAAAAAAATCATGAAATATTTGGTTTTGCACAGATAAAATTAAGTATTTGCATAATTTTACATATATTCACTGGAGCCTTGTAAATACACATGTCAGAATCTCAAAGCGATGATGACCTTGAAAGCCCATGCCATCAGACCCCTCCACTGAGACCTGTTTTGTAAAAAGATTTTTATGACATTTCAAAGACAGCATGTCCAAGAGAGTCTAGGATGGTTCCACTTTAACCTAGATCACACTTTACAGTAAAAAAAACTCTAGGCTCTTTCAGTAAAAATGTATTTCCTACCCTATACTGCCACGTATTGAGGGCTTTTAGCAAACTTATATTGCCTATGGAAATAAATGTAGGCAGTATAAATCTGAAGCTCCATGTTCCAAATGAGAAAAAGAGAACAAAGAAGTCTTGTTCGTAATCTTAAAGCTAAGCGAGGTTTCTTTCTTTCCCAAGAAGCATATGAATGCAGTTTAAAGCTCCCAAGGAAATATTCCCCCCCACACACAATATATTGTGAAACACAAAATATACGTTGAGACCAATAAAAGGAGGAGAAGTCAGGCACTAAAGACCACATATGGTATGATTCCATTTATTTGAAATGTCCAAAAACAGGCAAATTCACAGGTACAGAAAGTAGACTGGTGGTTGCCAGCTACTATGGTTGAGGGGTGATAGAGAGTGAAATAGGTATGGGGTTTCTTTTTGGGGTCATGAAAAATTTCTGAAAGCAGACAGAGATGATGGTTGCACAACATGATTAATACACTAAAACACTGAATTGCACACTTTTTAAAAGTGAAGTTTATGGTATATGAATTATATTTCAAAAAAGCTATTATTTTTTAAAACAAAGAGGAGAAGGAAGAAATACAGAAATGTAAGCTTAAGCATCTTCCACAAGACACTTTTATTAGGGAAAATACTCCTCACTACGCATATACTCCCATCTTTGAAATTCACAAAGTGTATATTAAAAGCTCTGAGAAGTCCTATAGAAACCTGATAGCTGTGTCTAACCCAGTTTCCCAAACTTACTTGGCTGAAGAACAGCCCAAGCACAAGCACACCAACAACCTCCCCACCAAAGCCTATTAATATCCACTTGGACTTAATGTTCCCTGGAAAACATTAGAGAAATTTGCTCTCTGTATTCTACAAAAACAAAACAAAAAAAAAAATGGAGGATCAGAAGAATACCACTCTTCATATGTGGAACTGAAATGCAATAGTATAAAATGAATTTTTAAAATCAACTTCTATCTACTGTCTAATCAAATACATTTCTAAAGGGTATTTCACATATTTCACAAGCCAACTAAAAATTTTTAATTTTCATCAATCTTTTGGTAAAAATAAACTTATAACCCAAGAATTTAAACAAATATTTGCCACTCTGAGAATATAAAATATACTTCTCACCTCTCCAGAATACGTTTAAGTTATATTAGCTTTGTAGAGTCTGACTTGTATCAAAATACCAGAAGTCCCAATATACAATTCATAATCTCTAGTACTTACAACTAAAAATAAAGACTTCAACAAAAACATATACTTTTTAAAAAACTCAACAAAGATATTAGCTACCTGAAGAGCTAATATACTGTCCACCTCCTATGTAGCCCAAAAGTAAATGAGTTCAGCTACATACAATAACTCGACTCAAGGTCATGAATATCCTATTGTACAATAAAAGCAAATCACAGAATACGTACCAGAGTACTCCTAGTTATATAAAGTACAAAAGCTGTTTTTATTTTCAGGAATACAAAATGCATGGAGCTCTAAAAATAAAAGTAATGGCATGATAAAAAGCAAAACTCAGGAAAGTGGCTAACCAAGGGAATGATGACATTCTGTTCTTAAAACACCGTGGTGGGTGCAAATAGCTCACAACTATTTCTTTGAATGTATGCTCAAAAAAGAAGATATAAAACTTCAAAACTATAGCTTGAGCCCAGGGGTTTGAGGCTGTAGTGATTGTGCCACTACACTCCAGCTTCAGCCTGGTAACACGGCAAGACCTTGACTCAAAAAAAAAAAAAAAAAACTTCAAAACTTTTACCACTCAAATCATGATACTACATATAATTTGTCACTAATTACAGGGAATTTACCTTCTAAATATGGTGCTTTTTTAAAAGTCACATAAGACAAGCAGTTTTTCCACCAATACATAATATTTGCACATACTTAGGCAGTACACGATATCTTGTTACATACACAGAACATGTAATGATCAAGTCCGGGTATTCAGGGTATCTATCGCCTTGATTACTTATCATTTCTATGTGTTGGGAACATTTCAAGTCCTCTCTTTTGCTATCCTGAAATATACGATATATTGTTCTTAACTACAGTCCCCTTACTCTGCAAACACTGAAACTTATTCCTTCTATCTAACTGTATGTTTGTACCCATTAACCAACCTCTCTTCATCTCCCCTCTACACCCACCTTGCCAGCTCTGGTTTCTACCTCTATGAGATCAACTTAAGAAAAGCAGTTTTATATTTATATAGATAACTTCAAATATTAAAATCAACATTTAGCTACACATTGAAGTATAACACTCTTATTAACAGATAAATAATAAATTCACAACTGTTCACTCCCAACTCCAAGACTGCTGTAGACATAAACTCCCTAACAGAAACACGTTTCCAAAATATAAATTAACATTGAGTAATTTTGGCAAATAATTAGTATTATAAAAGACATCCTAATATTACCTGGGACAAGAGTCAAAGGTAACCTTCTGGGTGTAATTGCTTTGGGGTGCTGCTTACTAATTTCTTCATAAATTTGAAGCCTCTCTTCCAAAGTGCCTATTATCAGTAAATATGGGTGAGATTCATAGCATCAAAACTTTTATCCATGGTAAAATGCTAACAAACTTTTAAAATGTTGTTATAAATAAAACTGCATTAACAATATTAAAGCTGCTTTCAATTTTGGCAAAAATGACATGTAAAACTCTGTGGTGGCGAAATACTATAATCAGTTAAGTCACTGTTTTTAAACTCATCTCCAGAGAAATTCAAAACTTGTTTCATCGCAAGATTCTAAATACAACCCAAATCACATATACAAGCCATCACAGACTCAAGATATGCTGCACTTCTCTATATTCCTTTAGCATACAACTCATGGAAAAGAAAATCTTTTTATAATGTATCTCTAATAACATATCTTACGTAAACACTCTGAACCAAAGAAACCTACATATATCCCCATAAAAGCCTATAATGTCTGTTGATTAGGCTCAAAGGAGCAACAGTTTTAGGATTATGATTGCAAATGTTTAAAATATAAAAACATAAACTAAACTTCCATGTTAACATTAACACTTAAAATCTTCAATGAAAGTCCATTATCCTTCCAAAAGACAAAATTATACTTCTAACAGAAAGTTGTATCTTCCCTCCCAAGAGTCACCTAATTTTATAATACCACATAAAGGATGTATCTATACATAAACTACTTGTTACTCTGAAACAACAATATGCAAGCAAACAGGATCTGGGTGTAGTTTATCTTTCTAAAATAATGTCCTGCATAATTCACAAAAAGAGATTTATAAGCTATAAGATAATTTATAGTGGAATTTTAAGAAAAAGCAAACCTGTTTTAGAACTATAACGTTTTAAGTAGATCTTAATCCAAATTCTGTCGTCTAAACCACAGAAAAATAACTATCCTAACCCTGGGTGCTAGCAGACAAGGTATCTCTGTAGTGAATGTAGTGTTTATAAGTATTGACACTCAACATTAATATCAAGCATCAAGATTGTAAACACCATGCTTGAAGAGGCGTGATCTTGTTTAGACTCATTCCTTCCCCCAATAATATGTTTTGGAGCTCCAATTTGGTTGGATTTTAAGACCAAAGATATGTGTGGGGAGGAAAAAAAACCCTCACTCTCTGTTAGTAATTTGGAGACTTCACAAAATATTAAAGACCCTTATACTAATATATAAATGCTACTGCATATAAATATTTTAAAAATACTCTCATATTCATGCCTCATCTTAGAGAAAGACAAGCACCAAGTATGAAAAAAATTCTCCACTACCCTAGATATAACAAGCCGTATAAATGTAATCAAATTAAGACAAAACTAAACAAATTCAATATCCTACTTAAAGTCACAAGTTGAAGCTCCAGAACTTACTATGAGGAAGGAAAGGTCATAAGCTACCTAAAACAATAAAGTAGTGTAATTAGTTTTGTAATCAATACATTTTATAGTAACCAAGAATCCTGATATATGGAACATATTATTCATTTTAGTAAAACATTAAAATATTTTTATTAATTGTAATGTTACTACTTTAAAGAAAAATCATAGTTAACCCATGTTTTCAACCTTCATGCATATGAATTTTGCTGTTTTCTTCAGATTATTACTTTAATCAATATTGTGATTTTAATCATTTTCTTAAAAATATTTAAGAAAATAAACTTTTAACAATTTGCAGTGTAAAATTTTAAACATAAAAAGAACATCTGAATTAATACTAGTGAGGATACAACAATTAAACTTTTCTTGTAGCTTATACTACTATAAATGAATGTGGGTAGCTACCTATTTACCAAACTTTTTTTTTTTTTTTTTTTTTTTT